AGAGACTGGCAGAACAAGATTTAGTTTATGGTTTGTTTACCCCTGTTGTGCTTCTCTTTAAGCTGTGTTTTATGATGAACATGTATTACTTGTTTTTCTTTAAACAGCGTCTTCAGGAGGAAATCACCAAACTCTCTCCAACGCTGCAGAGAAATGCACTCTATATCAAATCTGTGAGTGGTACTTCTGTTTCTCTCTGTAATTCCTTTAAATTTTGTCAATTTTCTGTCCCAAAACACAAAGTCATTGCTGCAACAACATGTGATTTATGTTTATAAAGCATCCGAATATCCACTACCAAGAAACTTAAGACCAGCTGAAAATTATTTCTTTGTTCAATACAGAGCTTCAGAACAGGAGACCTTGTTGTATTCCTATGGGTTTGTGTACAAATATGTTCCCATAATAGGCTGTAGTGCTTAAGATCTGTGAATATCAAAAGTAATAGCTTTTTCTAATTTGTTTTTTTGTAGTCCAAAATTAGTCGCTTGCCAGCGTACCTGACTATTCAGATGGTCAGATTTTTTTACAAAGAAAAAGAATCTGTGAATGCCAAAGTTCTTAAGGTAAGTTTTTTATGTATTGAAGTTTAAATCTTCTTTGTACTTTTCTGTGAGTTTTTTTATTGTAAGCAGGCGACTAGTACTTTAAGAGTATTTACTAAATTGTTTGCTTTTAAATTGCATTTAAAAATATTAACAAAGTAGCTTTGTCCCAGTTGTGATGGTGTGTGGCAAAGTACACTATCAGACTGAGGGAGGAGGTGAGATGCAGGAGTGAATTTGCCCCAGTGCTGTTAGGATGTCTTTTGGTGTCTTTTCACCAGTGGTTCAGAGGAGAATGTTTAATTAAGGAGAGGGCCATGCTTTCAGTTCTTGAGAGTAAGTTGATGAGAAATGTTTATGCTGTCAAACACTTCCTGTCTTAGTTACTTTAATTGTTTGGCTTTCTGATGGACAAATACAGGAACCAGCTGCAAACAGGCAAATGTTCCAGTTTTGTTTTCTGTTGGCCTTGGCTGAGAGACCTCGTAGGCTGCCCAGGGAGCATCGTGATAGATGCTCCTTTCTTACAAGAGGAGGAAAGGAAATAAAGATTGAATTTTAGAGGATTGTTTGGATAGCAAATACTGACACTTTTTGCAAGTGTACAGTCATTCTACATGCCTTTTTTTTTTCTTTACCCTCCATAAGTATTTCTGTAGTGTAGAAGTAGGACAGTTAACAGTAAAGAATCTGATTTATTAAGTATTAATGTATACTGAATGTAGTAATTTATGGTGGTTTGTTTATACTGAATTAGACATTCTGCTGTGGTGGCACTGTAGCCCTTTAGGTAAGTACTGTAGAGCAGGTTGCCATAAATGTGAAGAGAGTTGCATTTAATTTGACTTATTGTGGTCTTGCCATGGGAGAATGCTTTAATGTGGAGTACCAAATTATGCTAATAAGTCTTTATGCTCTTTACTTCCTAGGATGTTAAATTTCCTCTTATGTTGGATGTGTATGAGCTGTGTACGCCAGACCTTCAGGAAAAAATGGTTTCTTATCGATCAAAATTCAAAGATCTAGAAGACAAAAAAGTAAATCAACAGCCAAAGAATGTAAGTCTCCTGACATTGTAATTGAATCATACATCTGAAATTGGGGTACTAATAAGGACTAGAGAAAACTTGACATCTTTAAAGATATTATTTTCTTATGTATTACGTTTGTATTGAGCTTTAGATCTCTTTATCATGCATCTTCATGAAAATACAAGATCTGCTTTGGTATAATTGCTTGATGAGAAATGTTAAATGCTGTAGACAGACAGCATGTATTTAATGTATTAAAATGTAGTGCTTCTGCTTACCAGGGCTATGCCTAAAGTTTTTCTGTGAATTACAAAAAATTATTCTCTTCAAATTTTACTGCTTGCTGGCTGGTCACTTTTGAAGTGCCGTGTAGGAAGCTGTCCCCTGCACACCAGCTGGAAAGGGTTGTACAAGGGACTGCTACGTGTCTGACTGATAAAATTTAGAATATACGTACCATTGAGCTTAAAATTAGTACTCTGAGAACTTGGTAAATGGTTTCATGTCCTATCCTATGTACATGTTCTAAAACCGACTTCTCTGTCTTGAATGAAAAAAAAAGTGAATGAGCTAAAAGTGTAGTGCTTTAACCATTTTTTTAAAGTTTGCTAGTCTTTTCCTGGCTTAACTCCTGGCAAATTCATTTAAACATTTGGGTAAGGCTTGCATCTCCTCTTGCACAGATGGGAGCAAGGAAAAAGTGGTTTTTCAAACAAAATGTATTGGCACTTAGAGTCTGTCTCTGATATTTTTGTATTGGCACTTCTGCTGCCAGCAGGCCCCTAACAAGGAATCAATCTTCAGAATTGTTTCATAAACAAACCCATAAATCTGGTGGCTGAACAGTGTAGGCAATACATGCTAAAATGGTTATATATTTGCTTTAAAACTGGTCTTGCTTAGATAAGGCTTTTTTATGTCCACCTAAAAAGTACAGTAATGGCACTCATTTCAAGTTCAACAAAAAATGTTTAGACATAGAAACATGTTTAAATCAATGGAGAGTTGGAATTTGATACAATTGTGCTAAAGCTTTTATTAAAGCATTCCACATTAATTCAGCATATTCTGTTTTTTAGTCTAGTAAAAGTGATGGTGCACAGAAAGAAGTTAAATATGAACCATTTTCTTTTCCTGATGGTGAGTACAGGGTAGCAAATCTACTTTAAAGTAACTTTCTGTTCACTTGTGTTTAAGTGTGTAGGAGTATTTTGGGAACCCTGGCTCCTTTTAATGCCTTTGAAAATTATTCTTCGGAAAGTGACAGAAATTTAAAGACTGGAAAGATTGGGGGAGCCAGAATGGTGAGATAGTCAAAGGCATAATTGCCATCCATCTGGCAGGCTGCTGATAATAGAAGACATGCACATCAAAAGACATTTGCATGTAATGTGCAGTTGTTTTGCTCTCTGCCTTGTCAGTGGGTGGTAGAAAGCTGAAATCAAAACAAAAACTTAAACTGGACTTGTAGAAGTGTTGTGGTTGTGCTGGTGCTGCCTCAGTTTTGGGGGGCTTGGAGACTGAAGGCCCAAAATATTCACCCTTTGCATTACATCAGTCACGTTTATGGATATATGTTTATTTCATGAGAACACACAACATCCTGGGTTTCCTGAGAGACTCTCCTGGCTGAGAGCTGCTGCTTTTAGTTCACAGGGGTTTTGTACTGTCCTGTACATGGGGTTTTACTCAACTACAGTGCTGCAGCATGGTTAATGTGTCTTGGGTCTGCAAGCTGCTCAAAATACTGCAGCTGTTCAACTAGGACTCGACATAACTTTTTTTCCCCCCCTCTTCCCTCAGATATTGGTTCTAACAATTGCGGCTATTATGACCTGCAGGCAGTGCTAACACATCAAGGCAGATCAAGTTCCTCTGGGCATTATGTGTCTTGGGTTAAAAGGAAACAAGGTAAAAAAAATTAACAAATTGCAGCACTGTTAACCACCCTTCACAGCTCCTTTCATTGAAGAGGCTGTTAAGCAAGCTTAGATTTTATGTATAGATAATCCTCTTGTTTTTCTTGCAGATGAATGGATTAAATTTGATGATGACAAAGTCAGCATTGTTACACCTGAAGATATTTTGAGGTTATCTGGGGGTGGAGACTGGCATATAGCTTATGTTCTACTCTACGGGCCTCGCAGAATTGAAGTGGTTGAAGATGAAGCTGAACAGTAGTCTTCCGTTTTAGTCATTCTGCCTAGGTGTGAAATAAATGTTGATTACTGATCACTTCTTTAACCCCAGAGCTTTAGCAAGTGGATACATAATTTGTTCAAACCTTTTCATGTGAAGAGGGATATTGTTTTAAAACTGATCCATGTACCAATTAGTCACTACTGAACTGGACTGCCAATTGTGGTGGTGACAATACTTAAAATAGCTTTAATGTCTTGCAGAAGATAATTTTTTTTTTAAATGAGCCTCTCCTCCTTCTCTAATGTCATCAAGTATTTATTACACACCTACTCTCACATTTGTTACTCTTGCATGGTTTATACCACAATTCAGTAGCTGTCCATCCTTTGCCTTACCTGGCAGTTTTGTTAGGAAGGTAGAAGAGGAACCGTTGCCTTGTTGTGTAACTCAGTGCTGCTGCCCGTAGCCAACAGCTGTGGCTACAATCAAGTATTTGTCCAGCCTGACCTGCTGATTCAGTCTGTTCTGTTGCTGGCATCTCATGATTTCAAAATAAATTGTGATCAGCAATGTGTCTCCATTAAAAACAGTTCCTGTCCTGGTAGTGTAGACAGTATGTGTTTGTTTTCACTTCTTGGGCCACCACTGATGAATGTCTCAAAGCAGTCAAGGAATAAAGCCACTTTTTTTTTAAGCTGTAGGGCTGCTTCTCCTGTCCTGTTACTCTTTACTCAGTAGCTAAGTCCGGTGTGGTGGCTGCAAAACTGGACTTTGCTTACTTACAAGAACTTCTTTAGTAACTAACTGTGAGTCAGTGTGACTGCAGTAAAAGAAACAGCCAACACAGTCAAGAAAACCACTATTAAGGCCATCACCACACTCACCCAGTGTTGATGTGTCCCAGTCTCTTCTGGGACAGCTGGTCCATATTCATATGAAATACCTTCACTTTTGTTGTTATAGGGCTGAGTTTGCCTGTGCCTCACTTGCTAGGAGGGGGCCCCTCTTTTATCCTTCCCTGGGGACAGTGGCATCAGCTGTGGCCTTCACAGGTGGTTCTTCTCTGCCTTAAAATTAACCAAGTGAAACTGTTACATGTTGTAGATTCTACCAAACTGTACCTGCAGCGGGAGGCAAGATGGGCCATTATTTCCAATAACTCCTGTATCTTGGCCCCTACTAACCTTCACCACAGGACCCAGCATTCACATTCCTAACACATTTAAATCCGAAGTGGGGCAGCAGGCACAAAGCTCTCATCAATGGCACTGCAGACAGGAACTCGCTTCTGAGGTGGCATCTCACCACCCTAGAAATACACAGCTGTGATTTAATAGCTGAAACAATACAGAGAGGAGTTCAGTGGTATGTAGTTTGCCAAACACTCATAAATCAGAGAGATGTTGGTGAATGGCAGAAACACTACAAGAAATACCCACAGAACAAGTTGTAGCCAGCTGCCACTTGATACTACAAAAATCTCCCACTCGTTGAGGGAAAATGGCTTGTACCCATCTACAGACAGCCATGTCCTTAAAATGAAACTGTCACTTCACAGTAACCTGGGACAAAAAGTTACCACGTTCCCCATGACTCAGGGGAGTTCCTACATAGCCAAACACATGGAGAGGCTAAAAATAATCACTAATAAAAATAAGCATGGAACCCCTCGATCACCTAATTAAGTTCAGACAGAACCAGTTCTTCAGCGGGCAAGTGGGACAACAGCACTTCACTGGAAGTCAATGCTGGGACTTGGAGTTCCATCACTACCCTCTTATTTTACCTATAACAGGTATGTTTTGATAGTCTGCAGTTCCCCATCACCCAAAGGGTGACTCAGAAGTCCCTGACATGCAGTCCCACCCTGCTCTGAGAAACCACGCAAAGGTAGCAGCAGTTGGAGAGGCTGCTCTGTCCAACGGGAGTGACTTGAGCTCTGCTGGTGCCAAACCCTCCTGCAGCCTGCACTGAAAGCTGCTTCTCCATCCTCCCTTTTATGTTTCCACCACCAAAGACAAAGCTTCCCAGTTCTGGATTGGGATGACTAATCCTTTTCTCAGAAAATCCGGACAATCCTACAGTATCATTAAAAAGCTTTATCATTTCCTGAACAAAAAATACCTATCAAAAATCTGTTACCTAGCAACAATAGTAACAATTATCAATGACAACCACCAGAACAGTCACAATTAATGACACCCCCAGCCCCCCAAGTCAAAGAGCAAGTTGGCAGCTGAAGCGAGTTAGCTGCTGCCTTCGGTATCGTTGGTCAGGCTTTCGGCAAGGTCACTTAGCCCAGCTTTGGTCAGCGCCGTGATCAGGTTATCAGGAGTTGCATGTGCACCCTCCTGATCCTGCCAGGCCACCAGCAGCTGCTTAGCTCTCATCTTCACATCCTCGCTGTCCAACTCAATCTGCCGGATATCAGAATCCTTCATTTCCAAGTAGGGGGCCAAGGCCTTCCACTGCTCCCCAAGCCTGTTCGCAAATAACTCGATCTGTTCGCCCGTCATGGCTTTGTCCCGTTGCACCTCTGGACCTGGGGGAAAAAGAGAAGGAATCAGTCAGACATATGGAACATCTCCAGACACTGCAAATTAATCTACCCTGATCTGCCCCAGTATAAATTTTCTGTTTATTTACTGACAGACTGACTCAGGCCTTTCCTGTGGTTGTTAAAACCTATTCGAGCTCCGAGAGCAGGTTTTTACAGATGTATTATTACCTGGGTTTCAAGAGGAATGTCCCTTATTGCCTGTGATAAAATCTTGCTTTTTGTGTTATCTCCTGTTATATTGAGAGAGAATTGCTACATCAGAACTACTTCCTCCAAACGAAAACATGAATTTTTACAGGCAGACTACAGTACTCAACACAAGTCAACTATAACATTAAAATACAGAGTAATCTTTACTATTTGTCTTCTGGAACTTTTTAGTCACTTTAGTCAAAGTTAACCTAGGTAAAAAAACCCATTTCCTTCCCTTTTTTCTCATGTTCCTATTGGCAGCAGGACTGTAACAGTAACTTTAGTGTGTAGTCCGTACTTTAAGGAATTTTCTGTCATTCTGGCATTGAGATAAAAATCATGGAATACTATGCTCTGCTGAAAAGCCAAGCGCTGCAGTGATTACACAGGTGGGTTTGCACATTCATAGCTTATCATGGTCTGCAATCTGTGGCTTACCACCTGTGTTTATTTCACAGTTTTAAACAAAAAACCCCAAAGACTGAATTACTTACATACAGAAATTAATCATATTCTTAATTTTTATTAAATATCTCACCCTTGTGCCACCTGAAGAGCCAGCTGGCATGGAGCAGAAGTTTCAATTCTGTCCAGTACTTATCAGTCACACTCATTTATCTGAACTCAAGTCACTACATCAAGGGGAAAAGATGGGAGATCCCAGACAACCAAACAACAAAAGCCCTCAGATGACTTAAGTCTAAGCACAGTGGTGTACAGCAGACCACAGCTCTGCCATCTTTGCTTTAAGACAATATTGAAAGAAAGATGTAAATCCCACACAGTGACACCACCAAGGCTGTGTTAATTAGCATTAAGCTAAAGAGAACTTCTCTACTATTGGCAAGGAGACTCTGGAAAAGGTCAAGTGCTGGATGGAAAAGGGCAACAGAACAGATTCACAGAGGCCCAAAGGTTTTCCACTAACAGAAAAAAGCCTTCAACAAAACTACCAGAGGTACCCAGTGTTTGGCTTCCACGACCTGCATATCCCACCTGCCCACGCTGGATCCAGGAGCTGGCACACGGAATTACAACATGCAAGGGAGAAGGTGTTGTGAGATGAAGGCATAAATGAGGATGGAAAAGGGCAGATTTAAAGAAAAAGGAGATGGACACCTGGGAGCAAGACATACCAGGGTTACAGGCAAGAGACAAACAGAATGGTTCGTGAAGGGGAATGAGCAAGGGATGATATCTGTTAGGAAGATTGCTCTTCTCACAAAGAAGCTTTTGCCTTTGAGATATTTTAAATGAAGAAGAAGTAAAGAACTCAGAGTTGGAATATATCCATTTTTGAAAGTCCCATAACTACCCACCCCAACAGGGACTATAGGAAGCAGTTAGCCTGGCAATTAGAGGGCAGAGAGAACAGGAAAGAGAGGAAAGGAGTGCTCAGGTAGGCTTTTACACAGCAATACTGGCGTTTCAGCTGTAAACACCTATTGACAATGTAAACACACACCACATAGCAGAAAAGGTGAAAGAGGCTCCTAATCAAACCGCTAATCCAACAAGTTGGATGCTTTCAGCACGGCAGGCCACGAGCCTGGGAGGTTGCTACTGGTGCCCCGTGTCCTGAAAAGGCTGCACGTTTTGGTACGAATGCTGGTTCAAGTCAGAAGCACTGGGGTACACAGGACTGATGGCCCTCAGTAGAAACTATGTTTAAACACAGCTTCTACAATACACATCAAGAGAAAAACTGAAAAGACTGAAAACATGCAAATCTTACTTTCGTTGTTTTCCTTCAATAAAGCATCATTATCTTCCTCATCTTCATCTTCACCTGTTTTTATTTCTTCAGAAGGAGGCTACAATGAAAGAACGAAACATCACTGGATGAACTTTGTATTAGAGAAATTTTACAGCTCTCTGGTTGTCTCTGGGATGTGTGTTAGAATGGAAAACCTGACATGATCCCACATGAGAATTAAAAATTACCCCACAGTCTCCTGCATCCAAAACACCAGTAACAAGTGCTCTAATAAAAGATATTTCTAACTAAAAAACCTAATAAAAGTATTCACTGACTTCACAGGATAACAAAACTAAGCATTACATAGTGAGCTTTATTACTTACTTGCTTAAAAAACCCCTTGCAACAAACTTTGAGGCCACTACTGATGAACATGTTTTTTTAAAAAAACTATTCTTCACTAAATTTATTCCTCACTTGAGAATTCCCCAAAGTTTTGATACTTTCAAATCTCTGGAAGGTGGCAAACAAATATGCAAACAAGAAACTTTTCAGTCTCTGATTTAGCTACTCATCAGTAAAATAGTTTCCCCTTTTTCTACATTTCAGCCATAGGCCTTATGTGCTTCTTGCCATAACATTTGGTACATGACAGTAACACCATCAGGAATATTGCATACGCTGTCATCTTAATGCATTAAACAAATTACAACACATTTCCCCTCCCTGTATTTTTTCTAAACCTGCTATAGCGTACAGTTAACTCCGATGGCTGGACAAACAAGAAACCTATATACTGCAATTGAACCTTTACACCTCAGTAGTTTCCCATTACAGACAAGGAAGGTCTCAATACAGAGGCAGCAGTTCATATCTGCAAGAAATTGCTGGGTTTTGTGCTAACTCAAAGGTTTAGAAAACACCTCCTTCCCCACTGCTGGCCTGTGTATATCACTGTGTATAAAAGGATCTGAAAGGCCCCTCCCTGGACTCAAATTTGTACTACTGAACACGGGAAGAGTTAATGCCTTAAATTTACAGCTTCACAAGGTCTATTTTTATTTTACATATTTTAAAAGTCAGGGAGCTGACAGAAGAGCTCTGGCAAACCTTGCTGTAAAGCTCTGGTAACACTTAGCACAGTACTTTCAGCTGCCTACACTGCCCCTTTTCCTGCCATCCCAGTATATTCATGAGCCATAACGCTGGCTTAGACCTTCCATCAACGTGGTTTGCACTGCAACACAGAACCCAAGTGGTTGGGCACAAATACATTCCTGCCTACCAACGGGATTGCCACAGCTGGGTTTTTTTCCACAGAATACAAGGCAGGGCTCAGCACTTACTTGGTTAGTCAATGTTTTTCAGTTTAGTGTTACTGGGATCTTCACAGATTACACTAATTTTATTTCTGATTTTTACTTTAGTGTACAAACTTTTTTCCTGGGTTTTTTTTTTTTTCCCCCTCTATGTTCGCATGTACCAAATGGACTGCAGAGGAACAATCAGGAAGTCAAATGAATTCAGAATTTATTATTATAGGATAATATTACTTACGGGCAGCTCCTTGGCTAATTTGATTACCATGTTTTCTAGATATTCAGGTAAACTCTTGAATTGTTGGTTTGTTGGCTGGAAAAAGTGGGGACTTCTGCGTGCCAGAAGTCTCAGTGCTCTCCAGCCATAGTTAGAATTGTTCACAGCCCTACAATAAAGCACAAGTTTGGTTGGAATCTAAAAAAAGCACAAAAAAAAAGATCTGAGACATTTAGAAATTAATATAATTCTGTCCAAACGTAAAAATTCTTTGTGCATTACTGGAGTCCTGCACAGATATTAGTATTGCTGACAACAGTCTGTTTTCTTTAACAATCCAAACATGAGAGATCAAAATCAAGTGAAATATGAAGATCAACATACTTATACTTATTTTCAACCATGTTTTCAGGGTCTGCTTGTTCAATAGCTTCTTCAAAAAATTCCTCCAACGTTGGCATATATTCCCTAAAAAATTAAATAAGAAGCTTTAATATGCTTCACAATCTACTATAAAATAGCTGGTTTTCAGTTCCTTCATACACATCTCAAGCTTATCCACTGAAGAAAAAAAAAAAATCCTCAAACCAACCCATTCAAATTTAACAACTGCAAATTAGCAAAGACTCTGTTTGGTACGTTTCTATAAAATTTATTTACTGAATAACCACTGCAGTGTAACAGCAGTCACTAGCACTGCCTATTATTATACATTTAAACCTTCTGCCATACCAAAAGGTGACATCAACATCTGTCAACAGCCTTCACAAAGCTCACAAGTGCTCAGGAGTCTAAAATGGTTGTTAGTTTTGTGAGATTTGACAGGATCAGTAAAACATGGCGATTCCCCCCAACCCCCTTTCAGTTCCATCTGCTCTTGTGGTTTCTTCTGACAGGTATTTAAACCAGCACAAAAGGAACCCTGACCTAAAAAAAAGAATAGAAATGATATTTCCAATGATCATGACAGTTTGCTGCTGTGAAGGCTAAAGGCCAGAGACACATAAGAGCTGTAGGTTACTGTGAGCCAAAATTCTCATAGGTGCAAAGCAAACTCATACTGATCTGTATTTGTGCTACCTAAGGCTGACAGAGATACATCTGCTTCTGCAAGGGAATCTAGTAATTAGTTGGAGCAAGGGGTAAAGCACACTGGTCTATAAATTCAATTTGGTTTTGAAGAACGTGTTTTGCCCAGGGCAGCAGTGCCCCATGCATGATTTAAGTGTAGCACTATCACTGGAACTAAAGCCAGCACCTTGAAAACCCATCTGATTTGAGTCCTGCTATGTTATCCCCAAAACAACCATCTGAAAAGACAGGTAAGGAAGTATTACCCCATTTGAAGGGAGATGTGAGGAACCAAAGCAAAAAGCTACATTCACTTGACCACGTGCAGTCATGAAGTCTGTCATAAAACTTGGCACTGAATCCAGACCCCATGGGATTTTCTCTTTCCTGTTTACCACGGCATGCATTTTTGGTTTACCTCCACTTGTTTAGTTTTTTTAATTTTTTTATTTTTAGGTAAAGACATTGTAGCACAATACAATCATGCATGGGGAATCAAAAGATTTGGACTCAAATACAACTTCACCTTCAGCCCTTGGCCTAGTACAGACAAGTATCCTGTCAGAGGCCTTCCTGTACAACCCAGCTCACAAGAAAGGAGAGCACTTCCTCTGCAAAGCTCTAAACCTCTGGAAAAGCAATTCCTCCACTCAGGACATCTGCACAGCTAGCAGCTCTCCGCAGGCAATCAGACTTTACAGCCACTACTAGAAGAGCTCTCTTTGGGAACTGTCCCATTCCTTTTCCAAATTTTCTTACTAGGTATTATGTGAGCACAGAAAGGGATTTTGCTATCTGTAACAAAATTATGTAGCAGAGTACATTTTAAGTATTTCCTACAATTGTGCAAGCAGAAGGGACAACCAATAATTGTGTTCTTCTACCTCTGCAGCATGAGTAGATCCGGTATGCACTGGAACAATGCCTGCCAGACAATTTCCTCTTATCTAGCATTGTTCAAAGCACAGGCCTACTTGAAAATCATAGCCAAATAGCATGCTAACTTCATTAGAGCCAGACTTGGCAATCTTCCTTCATTATATAAGGTAATTAATTATACAGTCATGCTCTACAAAATGGGAGTTTTCATCTGTTTTTTAGCTTAGATTTTACTTTACTAAGCAATGAAAATTACTGACAGTGTAAACACTAGAAGAAGCAAAGAAAACTGTAAGGGGATTTCAAGACAAAGATTCATACAACCAACTTCTCTCAAGACACAGTGAAATGACACACCTCCTAAGATCACCTTGTATACTTCCCTTTTCCCAATTTTGTAATAATTGTAATTCTCTAATTAAAGTGCTTAAAGTCAGGTTTAGACAATGACACACCCATTTTTTTACCTACCTACTCTCAGATTTACAAGCTTCCATGTTATCGGGACATAAATTCCAAAGGCGGGTCAGTTCCTCGCTGACAAGGGAAGCACAAACACACATTAAACTCCACATTCATCATTCTATCATTCCGCACTTACACACTGTTTAAAAGGGATCTACAAGAGAGCTGTAAGGAAAGGAAGCCTATTGCAAGTTTTAAAAGAATGATATATCCCTCAGCTGTTCTTTCCCGGCGGTTCCAAAGTAAGGAAGTTTAAAAATTACTGTATAGAAAAAAACGAAGAGTGGAAAAAAAACCCCATAAATTACCCAAAACCAACTAACCAACCCAAACACAGAAACCCTGTAAAGAAAAAAAAAATTCCAACGTACTTCCCCATAAGGATTTTTTTGTTTGATCCTTTTCCTAAGAAGTCCTCTGGAGCTGGCCTCTTTCTCACAGGCCTTGTTGGTTTAGAATCAGGAGGTCTAAACAAAAAAGGATGCTCTTTAGTATCAAACCACAAATATTCCGAGAGCAAAATAAATCCATTTCACCTTCAGATGGTGCTAAGTTAAATCATAATGAAAGTAATCAGAAGGACTGTGAGTCTCCAGTGGAAGGATGCAGGAGGGAAGAGGAGACAGAAGGCAAAGTAAGGATAAGGAAAGGAATCTGCCAGACACCAAAATTAGTTCACTCACAAATGCAAAGGTCTATCAGAGTCCCAATAAAGAAAAAGAAGGAAATCACATTTGTGCCAGCAGCACATATAAGTATGATCTACCCTGCTCCTGGGATCATCTGCTCTATGATTGCAAGGTCTCTTTCCCCAGCTGCACCTGATTTCATGGGATCAGAGAATGGAGATCCCAGACCACTGAGGTTAGGGCAAGACCTACCCAAGTTGAAACTCTGGATAAGATCTACAGGAGAATATTTACAAAAGTCAAATTTCATAGTTGTACTTCCTCACAAGCCCCCTGCAACAGTAATTTCTCTCTTCTCACAGTCCCCCTCCCTTTTTCTTCAAACAGTTTAAGTCATGAAGAGGTGGCTGCACCTGATCTCTCCAATAACAGGAAATCTTCAAAAGATAACGACCCAGATGCTCCTTACCACAAAGAGGCTACAGTCTGTGTGTACAATGAAGAAGGATGGAAGATGGATGTTTGATCACCCCTCTCAAGACAGTCTAGCAGACATCTGGAGTTGAAGTTTTGCCACTAGTTACCAACAAACTACACAGGAAACCTCTCAGTGGTGAAAGCCACTTGTCACTACCTTTCAGGTAAGTGATCACCACCAACTGGCAAACCTAATAAATAAATGGCATAAGAGAACTGTTGCACAAACTCCAGGTATGCTGGCCTGCCACAGCCATAACGCCAAAGGTTTCATTAGAGGCAATCCAAAATGGTATATGGGAAAGTCAGGCACTAAATTCTTCAGCCTGGGGTCTGCCAAAAGCAGGAGGGGACGTAACCTGCTTCAGTCTCCTCAGTACAACAAAGTGTTGCCATGAGACAGTGAGGAATGCACTCCTGAGAGCCCACACATCCATAACCACTTCTGACACAGTGGAAGCCTTAAGACTTTTGGCAGAAATCTAAGAGCCTTCTGCACACACTGAAGGGACAGGCAACTACACAAATCTCAAAGTTTTGCAAATGGTTAACACTCCTATGAACCATGGGTACCATATTTTGAAGGGAACCACCATTTCAAACAAGCAGCAAAAAGCTTCTACTTTGCAATACAGTTACCTTTCTTTAACAAAGCTTGGGCAGCCCTCATTTTTCCACGAGTTCCAGTTTTCTTCAGTATTTAATATATGCTGGGGAAACATAGAAAGTATTGCACATTATTAGGGTCATAATCAGTTTTGGAGTTGACTCCAAAGTTTTTAACTGAGCTACTAGAAGGGGAATACTTTGGTTTTAGGTTGTGTATTTCAGTCACTTTTTTGAAGGTCATCAGTATAATCTTTGACACCTGGTTTAATTTATTCAAAAATGGTATATCTCCTCTCTTCAATAACTGCAGGAAAGGCTTTACTTCTCCTAGTCTAAACAAGAAAATAGATGCAGTCAAAGTAAAGAAAGAAAGGAAAGCAAGAAGACAACTTTTTTTTTTAAATTTCACTTTTATCTTATTTCCATGTCTTTGGGCACTGCACTCCTGTCTGCAAGGATTTCTTAATTTTTAATAACCAATCTCTCCTGTATGTACACATGCATATATATGCATATTTCCATTTCTCTCCAGGAAAAGGAAGAAAAGAGCATTAAAGAAAGCATGGGAAAAAATACAACTACAAAATAAAACGATGAGACCTTTTTTTACTGAGATGAGGCAGAAGTTCTCGCAGATATAACACCTGTGTCCCAAAAGCTAGTTCAAGCTGAAACTGCTTTTTTATATGCTAAACAGACTTTGTTCAGACAGGCATTAAAGTACTTACCTCTACCATTTTTGAGAACCTTTCCCCATCTGGAGGATTTTCTGAAAGAAGCTATGAATAGGAGAAAGAAAAGTGAACCTCTTGCATTATATCCGTAGCAGAATGTGTAGGGAAAAAAAGCCCAAAGAAAATGGTGGTTACTGCTTCAAAGGTGGCTGATACAATATTACATGCTAAATATTCTTCCATGCCAGTTTTATATAAGTAGACACCGTACCAACCTGGTAAACTGCTTTTGTAGTATCTTCTATCCAAAGAGACTGTTCATCTGTTAGAACATAGTTTGAACTAGAATTGAAAAACAAAATAACACACCAAAAAGTGTCATTAAATCAGCTGGTTTTTGTTCTTTTTTTTTTAATTTTAAGAGTTTACTACACATCAAAATAGTGTTGAGGACACATTATTTACACTACATACCTTCTGAGGGGATCTGAAACAAAGTGCTTTGAATTTGCTCTGGTCTAGTCCCAGGGACTGACCATTTATTATGGAATTTATGGAATTAATTAGTTCTGCTTGGGGAATTTACTGTCAAGGTTTAGATTCATCCAATAGGAAGTCCATTTGTGTGATTCTAGACCACACCTTGATGTTGGACCCAAAGCACAGCAAATGGGGACAATGAAAAGCCTTACCTCAAAAAAAAAAAAAATCACCAAATGTTACATACATATATATACACACACCATTTGTATCTCATACCATCCTTGATCACTGCTTTTAATGAACATTTTAATGAATTGTGATTGAAATGACTGTCACCTCAACAGGACTGAACTCCAATTCAGAAGACCTGAATTCCATTCCTTCTCTGGCATTGGACTGCCTTGGTAAATAATCTATAGAATTAGGATGATGATCCTAACCTAGTTTACAAAGTTCTTTAGAAGCTATTTATTAAAAGCAGCATACTGCAGGTGAAAGAAAGCTGCTTTGTTAATGATGTCAATCATTATACACACATATGGCCAAGGGCACAGGAAATGAAGAGACGTAGAATTTTCTTCAGCATAACACTGAGATTAGGAAAATATAGGGTTTGGTTCTGTCCTGTTATATATAAATAAATGCAACATATATATATATATGTACGTATGTATGAATATATAAAAGCAACAATCACCATTGTTATTTCTTGCTAATTTAGAATTGTGTAGCACACTAGGAAAAAACAAATCAGCAACCAATGTCACATTACAGAGTCAATATAAATTCAAAATGATGCCACGCACAGATAACTTGCACTGGTCTAACAACTTGCTGCTGCCAAAGACAGTCTCCTCCCTGTATTTACCAATCCAAGGCTCCAAGTTTCACAAGAACCTCAGAACAAGTACACAAACTCTATTTTGGTTTATCTCCAAGTTTCTAGTTCCCCATCCCCAAAACACAAAATATTTTCACATTACCTTTTAAATTTGACCTGTCCCTTTAGATACTGAAACAGTATTAGGTACTGCAACAAGATGTGACGCCGGAAGTTACTGTCACTCAACTGTAAATCCATCAGCTAAACAACCGCAACAAAAGAATTACACATTAATGAGACTAAACATGCGTAAGCGTAAAAATACACCAAATGTTTCTGATAAACTCCACGGGGACTATTTTTACAACAAGATCATGATAAGTCTACCCAGCATCACCTGTACTTTCATGACAGCACTTCATAAGGTACTAAGATGGGTAAACTGTCATCTAGCGCACTTTAGGAAAGGGCATCGAAATTTCTAATTGAATCATTTTTTTGAAAGCATGAGGAACTTCCTGTAAAAGTATCCCTAGATTTTTGTTTAACAATTTTATAGTGCTGGATTTAACAACATTGACTTGGAAGTGAACAAGATTTTGGAAAAACAAATATTCAGATATTTCATGCAGCTGAAGGACAGCTCATTCCCTTTTCCTATGCACTACTCACTACAACATGTGGATTTGGCTACCACAGAAGTATTCACTCTCATCAATGCTTGCACAGTGACACACTGCTTGGTTTCTATCCTGTACGTTGCAGCATGATAGATCATACAAAGTGAACAATTGAAGAAAAAGGCCTTTGACTATTGGGTGTTAATTAGGTTCTGTATCTTCTATAACACATTATTTAAAAATTGTCAATATATAGGTCAAAGGCCTATGATGAATTTACTCACTCTTCTAGTCCAGAAAAACTCATGCTGCACCGAGATTCCCTTTCTGTCATCTACTAATGCACGCATTTAAAAGTTTAAGTTACATAGTATTCCAAAAAGAAGACAACAATTTTAGGATTAAATTCAATAGAACGCTGTAATTTTGGATTTACAGTAACAGAATAAAACCCTCTCAAGATATTTTTGAAAGCAATTTTAAACAGGACCATTATGGAGCAGAAAATATAGTTAGCACATCAGACAAGTTTTGAAAATGTAATTCTAAAGGCAACAAACAGATCTTTAAGTATTTACTCTGTTTTAACCTCTTTTTATAAATGCACCATTACAAATGAAATGCAATAAACAAATGGCAGCTTTACTGCAGACTCTTATTACACAAATAGAAGTCCCTAAATCATTAATTAAAAGAGGCAATCCAAAAAGAATAAAATATATCTATCTAAATGAAGTGATCAAACAGTGTAATGGGATACTCAGAGAAACTGCAGAGTCTCTATCTGTGGAGTCATTCAAAACCCAACTGGACACAGTGCTGATCCACTGCTCCAGCTGAGCAGTTCCTTCCAACCTCAACTAGCCTGGGATTCTGAGAAGAGTAATCACATACCTTTTCACTAGTTAGGAACTTTGCAAAATATACATGTTCTCCTCCTGTTTTTAGTTCTTCCAACTTTTTTCGGGAAGCCTGAGTGTCATCCAACTTGTAACTTTTGAACACAGCCAAAACTTCTTCTGAGTACTATGAAACACAGTTATTTACCACATGAGTAGTTAGAGAATTACTCTAGTCTTAATGCCAAGCAAGTAAAATGATTTGTAAACTTGCTACCAGCCCACTGAAACAACACATTTGCTACCAAAATGTAGGACCTTTCTGAACACAAATGACAGTGAAAATGTTATCATGTCAGAATATCTAATCATATGAATATTTAAAATATGCTAAGAAACACAACATTTTGGGTTGTGAACAGTGCACAATTGCTTTGTTGTTTAGATGTCATGAAGAAAAAAGGTTCATGTGATGATAGTGCTACATTAATAAAAAAATTTCATCTGAAAGACTTAAGACTGGCCTTCTTCAGTTTTTGAACTGCACATGTGGTGGTTTTGTGTGGTTTGGTTTTTTTTCTTTTTTTGACCCCATTAGTAGGTCTCATTAACTAGATTTATATTAGGATATCTGAAAAGATGTCACCTCTTATTACCAGAACACAGAGAATGAAGATTAAAAAAACCTAGGCTTCTTGCTATTAAATAAACACTGAGTGACAAATTGTGAAGGAACAGTAGCTTAGCAATAAATCATCCTCAATGTTCATACTAAGCAAAACTGAAACAGCTAGCTGAAGGGGACATACATTCAAGTCATTGCTTCTGTAAAGAGATTTGCTTCACTAGAAACCAATATTCAGAATCCCACTGGGATCAATATGACTATTCAAAAGTAAGAGCTAGATAGGCTATTTATCTGCTCAGAGTAAAAAAAAACCCAAACCCTCAAGTTCTGCTTTTTGCAGCTGATAAATCACAAAAAAGCTACTTGTGGCACTGTTGCAACATGTGAAGTCTTTTTGTTATTGACTTACACAAGTTATATTAGGGGGTTTATCGTACATCTTAATACACTGTTTACAGTCAAAAGCTCAAATGCACTTCCTCGTGCACTATCATTTTTCAGTGGCATTTTCCAAAGGCCTTTGAACTGTTCTGTGCTTACACAGTCACTCTGCTACCCCTATAAACTGACTTTTACTTAGGCTGAATGGTTGAAAGCATCTACTCAGATTACCTTAAGGAAAGTTTTCCATGACACCTTCTCATAGCACTGCACAGGATTCCTAAAATAATCCTGAAGTGACCAGAATTTTCTATACAGGTTATAATCTATTGGAATGGAACTGTGGGAAAAAACAAACAAACAAACATATTGAAAGTGATATACTAAATTCAAGTCCATTCAGGAATGCACAACCCCAGAAAATATCATTCATTTCGGAAGTGAATTAATGAGTCTGTAGTGAACCCTTACAGAGAAATCTGTAACTTAGAATTTGTCCCTAAAAGAGTTTTCCGTCCAGTCTATTGCTACTTTCTCATCATAAAAGCAAAAATAGTACAAAAAAGGGATCCTAGGAGTTTTTCACTATCTGGGGGATGAAGAAGAGTACAGCCTTTTCTCCCAAAAGCATATACAGCATATATTCAAAATCCCTGGATACATCTTATCACAAGTGTTGTCAAGGGAATCTGGAAAACTGTCAAAACCAGAGTGGTACTCAGACGGGGTATGCAACATTTTCAAATCTGTACATTTTTTTCTCCTCTAGGCAACTCCACTTAAACAGTTAAACCACTGCCAGGTCTCTTAACTGATTAAATAATCTTGAGAGGACAGGAGGTAAGGAGAATTCTGACCACAACATCTAAAGATATTTCCCAAACAGCTTTTCACTTTCGCTTTATAAAGCTTCGTTTAAATTTTTAAAATTTCTGTAAACTCACCAACTTGTTGGTGCTTCATCATCTCCCATTTCACCTTCTTCTACGTCCATTCCTTCTTCTCTCTCCTCAGCGTGCTAACAGGAAAAAATAATTTAAAACTTATGAAACACCACCACAATTTGGACACAGTTCTCACAGTGTTCTTTTTTATAAACGTACTATTACACTTTAGATCAGAAAGCTTAAGCTCGTAACTCAAAAGATCTCTCAAGTACTATTACCATATAATGTGCAACAAATTCTTGTCTTAATACCTTACTAAACTTTGCAACGACAGCCTGACTTCTCCTGGAAAAAGCTGAAGGGACTGCTCTATCCTCCGTACACTGTGGGGAAAACTTTGTACAGTAAGTGACACTGTTTTTTGCTCACAATCTAATCAACCTTATTCCCCTCAAAGTGCACAGTTTAATGTACCAGGTAACATGCCCGTGTCCCAGATCAACAGCTCAGCCTGGAAGAGGGACAACCAAGTGACAAACATACAGTCCCAACCATTAACCAGAGTAGCACATTTTTGTGCAAACAATCTTACATGTTTACTGCAGAATGAGTGAAAAATGACATAGGAACTTTCACCTTCTGTCCCAGAGTGCTCTCATGTTCATTGGTATTGAAAACAGTGACATTTTCCAGGTTAAACTGACTCTGCAGGTTAAGTCCTGTGAAAAACATAGGGTCAGTCTTAGAAGCTTTGAAATTCCCAAGTCTGTTAATTCAGTTGATTGTTTAAGAGATGCTGACACTAAATTCTCAGTATTCCAAGCTTCTCACAAGCATTCAAAGCTTGTGTTTGAAATCAAAGCAAATGAAAGTCACAATAACAAGGATAGAGACAAGAACTAAGATACAAGTGCAAAGTGATCTTCTCCAACTGGATTTGGTCTGCAATCATCACAAACTTAAAAGATTGAGCATATTTAGTCTTGTTTAGATGTTAAGTGTGATGCAACACAAAAAATCTCACCTGACTTTTCCGAAAGCGGAAATAACCTAGCCAAGAACAGCTGAATTCTTCCACAGAAGACCGTGTTTTGTGACTTAGATAATCTTCTAAGGAGGTCTAAATATTGTAAAAAGTAAAGGATATTAGTAGTTATCCCTTTTTTCATTTCTCATGCAATAGCATTCAAGCCTTGCTAATTACATGACCCACAGAGCTAATGAATGGAAGCTCAGATTTGTAAATTTAAATGCTGGTAACTCTCTCCGATCACACATTTTTTCCAAACGCATTCTACCAATCCTCCTAACACCTTTAACACCAATAAAATATAAGTTCAAATGAAACCTGTTCTTCTATAATGACCTCCACTGATGGAAAGAGTTCCCTGAGGCCAGAATGACTTTCACGTTAATTAGCAAGACTCATGAATATCTGTGGAGTGATGGAAGTTATAACTTTATTACTTATTGAACACATCTGAATTTAAATCGAATCATTAAATTCACTTTCATTTGCTGAGAATTGAAGTTCTTTAATTCTGCTTCTCCCTCCCCGATGCCCCGAAAAACTACAACTCACCATTGCACATTCGTAGCAAATAATTTTTCCCTGCAGAGTAAAAAGTATTCTGAAACAGAGTAAAGGTATTTAGAACATTAAAAACCTTTAGAACATTTAGAACCTTCTTGAGTAGATATTAATTCAATTAAAAGCTATGACTAAATATGAGTCATTCCTACTGATAACTCTAAATTCAAGTCTTCCCTTAGATAACAGGCAGGTTTCACAAAAAGGCAGCATAAAATAAGCAGTCGCATAAAACACATTTAAATCCAGCCTTCATACAGAAAAACCATATGTGACAATGAACTATAAGAAGAGCATCCAGTTTTTTTCCTGGAACACATTAATTTTTACACTCATTGCCTTTATTATTCCATGTATTAATTATACAAATAAGCAAAACACACACACAAAAGATTCAGTACTAGTACTGAATCACTACTTCATTCACAGTACTAGTAATTTGGCAGCAGAAGAAAGAAAATGGTAGATACTTGAATTAATGATAAAGAACAGTTTGTGAATATGAAGGGCCACGATGTTATCTGAAACAAAGCAGCCTAAATGAATGACTATGGGAAGTAGTCCTGGTTAGAAAATGCAGCTTACGAAAACTTTGAGAAAGCGAAATGATTTTCAGGTGTTGCCTATAGAGTTACTGACACTTAACCTGTCAGATGCAAAGACAGTTAAAATCCATTTGTAAAAACGGGTCAGGCAGACAGAAGGTTTGGCAAAACTATATAACATTTTGGAAAAATACCTACTGATTTCCATGTAGCAACATTTTTCTCCACAAAAGTGAAAATTTTGTCACACTGATCCAAAGGGAGGCAATCCAGAACATCCCCCAAAAGCACAAAAGGAGTTGATGCAGTGCAGATACCTACAAGGAACAGGGAATATTTTATTCAACAAATTTGAACTGAAATGCAAAAAATAAAGATGCATGGCACTTGAGGGACATTAAATTAAACAAAAAAAAAAAGTAAGAAAAAAGTTCTCCTGGGTTCCTACAAACCCTAACAAAAAGTTTGGGCTAAATCATGAACTTTCATTAAAGCTATTTCTATATACAGACATACTCAAATGAGCTTTACAAGAGCTTTGCATTAATGTAAAACAAATAATAAAAAATAACTGTTCTAAAGACCTAAAGTCTGAAATAATGTCGCACCTGTTTGCAGACTGCAAGTGAACTCTTTCAGACTTCTAAATCCACAGTTAGTCAGTCTGCACCCACCCATGAAGCCTGAGAGCCTTTTCCTCAAGTAAAGCACTGCTAAAGTAGTGCTCCAAGTCTGTCTATCCATGCTTGTAGGCAGTATCAGCATTCCTCGTAATCACAGGTCAAGTTATTCCACAGTTCATGAAACATACATGTAGTTCAGCTATACCTACTAAAAGAAACCAGTATTTTATCTGTAATGTGAACAAATAAACAAGGTGAAGAGCGCAAAATACACTTCAGAAGAGATCAGCACGCTGATTTCTGACACAAAAGACAGTTACAGAAACAGATTCAAATATCTAAAAACCAGTCATGTACTGCCTCAGTGGTCTCATCTCTGAAATTACGATGGGATAAATCTAAGCATTTTAGAGTGGACAAAGACAGAAAATGCTAATCATGCTGCAGTCAAAACCATGCATCTTTCTCTATTACAAAAAAAGGAGAAAGATTCCAACACAAATCTCACACATATACCTGAATTTGATTATATTATACCTAATTTATCTTGTGAAACAAACTTAATAACCACTAGCATAAGGGCCACATATTACAAAAGCTAGCCACTCTAGATGACTTAGAGAAATCATGATTTTAGAATTCCCCTAAATGGTCTCTAAAACTGCCAACAAATTCAAAAGAAAGATGCTCACCTTCTGTGACTCCATTAATAGCAAGAGATATAATTGCCAGGAGATTGTCACATGGAGCTTTGTTTATCTAAACAAAGAAAAGAGTGTTAAATTTCTCTATTCTGACCTAAATGCATCTAACAGAACTAAAATTCTTGTTTTCAAGTAGGCAAATTTTAAACAAATACTGATGCTCAATTTTCCCAAACTTTCAACTATTAAATTTGACCTGTCAGTTAACTATATGAAGTTTTTACTGAGGAATCATTCCTGAATGCTTCCTGCCACTAGAGACCCTAATGAGCAGAGTCATTTACCCCTGAAAATTAAAAGCCAACATTCAGACTTCATTGAAGTATTAATTTGATCATACGTTATTTGATTCCTTTCATCTTTCTTTTCTGACAAGCTGACAAGGCAGCTTTGTTACATGCTAGTAAAAAATCACAGAATCACTGAATGGTTTGGGTTGGAAGAGATCTTAGAGATAATCTAGTTTCAACCCCCAGACATGGGCAGGGACACCTTTCACCAGACCAGGTTGTTCAGAGCCCCATCCAACCTGGTCTTGAACACTTCCAGGGATGGGGCATCCACAGCTTCTCTGGGCAACCTGTGCCAGTGCCTCACCACCCTCACAGTGCAGAATTTCTTCCTAATATCTGATCTAAACCTACCCTTTCCACCCACTCTTAAAGTACAGTTGTAGAAAAATGCATATTTACGAATTGGAATTTTAAGACATAGCAGACTTTCATAAGCATTACAAAGAACTGCTGGAAAAGGCTCAGCCAACAGCTCTCACTATAGTGTGGTGTCTGTAAATTCCACCAATCTCTTTAAACCATTCATATTCAATCTTAATTACCTAACTACTACATAGTTCATGTTTGTTTTAATAAACAGTGTTTTCTTATACTAAGTTGCTATTAAATTAATATATTAGCCTGCAAATAGAAATTTGAGGTTCAACAAGAGATAGGCTGCAGCAGTTTAAAGTACTTACTATTTCTTCTTCCACAACAACTCTAAAAGCTTGATCCAAAGTGCACTTCTTCTCATTTTCACTGAAATGCAAACATTCCACCTTAGTTAGTAACAATCATTAGGGACAAGATTACCAAAAGCTATCCGAATAGGCACTTTTTTAAAAGCAAGTGACATTTACTTACCTCCCAGGAACCTGGTTAAATGCGCTCAACAACGGCTTGATGTTGTCGTTAATCAGAGCCTCTCTGGTGGATGTCTACCAAAATGCACAGAAAGAAAAGCTACAAAACCAGTACAAAACCAAAAGGATGTCCTCCTTCCTCTGACAGTGGAGAGAAATACTAAGGACTCTTTCTACCACACCCCATGTGTCAGTTTACAGCAGGAACTTCGTATCAAGAAAGGTAAATAACAAGCGCACAGGCATGTGAGCTGGTAGAGCTGGTAGAGCACCACACCTCAAACCTGGGCTAACAATGTGGTGAAAATAGTATTTCTAAGGGAAACACAGAGGAACACACTGTTGTGACCAATGCTCTATCTACCACAGTCTCACGTCCCACACATACAGCTTCAGGTGGTTGTGGCGATTTGGGACATGAATCACAGAATATTCTGAGTTGGAAGGGCCCCACAAGGATCATCGAGTCCCCCTCCTGGCCCTGCACAGACAGCCCCAAAAATTGCACCCTGTGCCTGAGAGCCTCTCTGTCCTCAAGGGAGTCAACAGCTCCCAACTATGTATCATCTGCAAACTTGCTTAGTATCCCTTCAAGTCCTGCGCTCAGGTTGTTTATGAAAACGTTGAAGAGCACATGAGTCCTGTTTAACAAGATGGTCTAAACATTACTACTTCCTGTTACAAAACTGATCTAATGGATCGAGTGCCTGTGCCTCGACCACTTCTGTGCAAAGCCCATCCTCTTGTTCTACAAACTGAGCCGCAAACGAAGGGATCCAGAGGCCTAGGCACACACCCAGCTCCCCTGCACCGGCAAGGGAAAAGCACCATTCAGCAGAGGCGCAAAGGAGCTAAAAGCAACATGCTCGGACGTTTTTGCTGCGGGGACCACGCTGTAATGTATTTTACGTTCATTTAAAATTTACATTTTACATACTGTAAATTTTTACAGTAACGCAAAAACTGTATTTTACATTAATTTATGTTACTCTAAAGGCTGACTCCCGCCTTGGCTGGGCCGGTGTGCGGCCCCATCCTCACTCTCACACCGCTGTATCTCAGCTCCTTGAAGGAGCGCCCGGGCCGCTCCTCGGCGGGAGCCCCGGCCGGGCCCGCGGGCCCAGAGGCGCCCAGGCACAGCCCTACACCGCAGCTTCCCGCCCGCCCGGTCCCGCTCTGAGCGGCAGGCCTGGAGGAGGGATGGATGGGGGGGAAGGCCAGGAGGCGGGGGAGCCTCACCGTGAAGCGGAGCCGCGCCTCGGGCAGGCTGAACAGCGGCGGCGACATGTTCCCGGCCGGGCGGCGCTGGCGCTCCGCGGCGCGCGCCGATGACGCCGTAACCCCCTCCTTCCGCGGGAAGGGGGAGGAGCGGGGAGTGAGGCCGAGTTCGTGGGAGGGGAAGTCGTGGAAGCACGGAGTAGTTTCGGTTGGAAAAGACCTCCGAGGCCATTCAGTCCGGCCGTTAACCCAGCCCTGCCAAGCCCGCTACTGAACCGTGCCCCAAGCGCCACATCCACACGCTTGTTGAGCGCTTCAGGGATGGTGACTCCACCGCTTCCCTGGGCAGCCTGTTCCAGTGCCTGACCACACTTTCAGTGAAGCAGTTGTTCCTAATTTCCAACATATAAACCTCCCCTGGCGCAACTTAAGGCCATTTCCTCCTCCCGTTCCCTTATTACCTGGACGATTCTCTCTCTGCCCCACCCCCTCCCCCTGCCCCCTGCCACAACCTGCTCTCAGATGGTCCTAGAGAGCGATAAGGTCTCCCCTTGATGTCCAGGCTTTCGAAACATAAACTACTTGTCGGCAGAATTGCCTTCTTGAAGTTAAGGGCTTGACATGCTTCAATGGTCTCAGATCTAGGGGGAGGTTAACAAAGCTTGAGGAGAAGGATGTACTGCTGATAGTGAACACAAAGAATGCAGAATTTACAGGGCACAAGAACATTTGGCAGAACTCGAGATAAGGATGAAACTAACAAAGCCAACTCAACGCCTGTGTTGAAATCAGCTGTGACAGGATAAGAGGTAATTCAGACGGGGAGATCACAACCACCGACTCATAGCCCGCCGACTCAAGAAATCCACCAACCCAAAAGAAGAGAAAGACTGAACTTGTCTTCATCATCATCATGGCTAGGCTTCGCGAATGGAGATTTGGGAAGGGCTCTACCCATGTTTGTTACAAGCGTGTTGGTGGCTAAAAAGGCCAATACGAGACAGGCACATCCGGTTGCAAAAGGCACAGCAGAAAGACTCCTTAGGAGATATATTCTGCAAGACACGATTCTTTCTGCGTTTTTTCTCAAGAGTGATCCCGTGTGCTTTCTCAAAAGCATCAGCAGCATTATAGATGGTGTGTCTCCAGACCTCCCGATTGGAGGCCAGAGTAGACCAGTTATGTTGATCAATATGACCAAGGCTGAGATGTTGTTTCAGGGAGTCCTTGTATCTTCTCTTCAGGGCTCCTCTCATGTGGCAGCCGGTGGCTGTCTTGGACTAATTAGTATGACAACAGAGGGAATCATTTAACCAAAGATAGAATACTAATTAATAACAGTACTATGTAATTTGAAGCCAATGAGCATTAATACCTTTGTTTGCTACAATGTATAAATAGTGGAAAGTTTGGGTAGTCAGTGTGCAGCCTTTGTGGATTTGCCACCCAGCATCCCTTTGTGCGCAGAACTGTAAATAAGATTGGCCTCTTGCACACCGGGTGAAAAACCTATTTTGGGACAACCACCTCAGTTTCCTCAGCCAATCCTCATCAGACTTGTACCCCAGACTCTGGCCAAATTGAAAATGACTTTACAGGTGTGGCTGTTTTTGTTTTTTTTTTTATAAACCACCCTAGAGCCACAGTCTGCCACCATTTTCAAGTATTGCTGAAGTAAGAATGATTACATATTTTTATATCATTGGTTAAATCACCTCAGTGCTGACAATTTACAGGTTGAGCAATAGTGTACAGATACCTCCTGAGTGACAGAAATGTTTCCAACAGAAATTAGACTTTTCATGATCACAGAATCAGAATCATCGAATTGTTTGGGTTGGAAGGGACCTTGAATGTTTCCAGGGACGGCTCATCTTTCCCCTCTCTAGAACTGCTAGAAGGCCAAGCCCCAGTGTAGTTTCCCAGGTTTCCTTAGCCTGATGTTTGGTGTCTGGGCAAAAAGCTTGGGTACTGCCAAAGTCTTGTTCATAAGTGGGAAAAAGCTCAGATATCCAATATCCTGCTCATATCGAAAGAGGCAAATAGTATTAAAATAAAATTTATGGTTATTATTAAAAGGAAATAAGGAAATATTTAAAATAATGTATTAAAGGATAGATGGGAGTATGTGGTTTGCTGCCTTTTCTTTTTTTTTTTTTTGGTGTCGTGTGGCTGTAGCTAGTTTTTGTACCGGGAGGGGGAAGTGTTTGCCCAGAAAAGGAACGGGCAGCATGAGGGGCAGGTTGACCTGCGCTTGGGTGGCTGGCGCCGACGCTGCTCTGCTAATGGGGAGCTGGAGGCACGCTGCCAGCCCAGAGTTTGTCACTTCATCTAAAATTGAAACCATTATTTCACACTGCCTAAAAAATGTGGGCTATGTCAGAGCCATGCCAATTCGTTTCAAATCATGGGGAAAGGGGCTTCGTAACACTGAAAATAGGCTCCACATGATCTATCTTTTTGAATGAGTCACCTGCATATGCTGTGAGACGTGCTGAATGTTATTCATTCAAGCTTGGAAGAAAGTTTATTTGGTCATTTTTTTTTGCAAGGCTTTTTCACTACTTTTCATCTCTTATTTTGATAAATTAAACCATATTATCAGCTGAATAAAAGGCTATTCTAAATAAATAATTTGAGATTATTCTAGCCGCCACCTCTTGCTGTATGAAAGAGAACCAAAGAGCTCTCTGAATTCGCTAAAACAAAAAAAAAGCTTTTAAACTTTTACAAGAATAATAGAGAGAATTACAAGCGTTCTAAGGAGATACTATCAAAATAAATGGAGTCTTTTTTAGAATACAAATGTTCCTTAAACCAAGACTGATGTTGTATGTGAATAGAGAGAAGCATGCTGAAAACAGTACAGTATACTTGTTAGTGCATAAAGCATAAATGAAGACTTTTTTTTTCTTGGGGTAGGAACAGATAAAGAGGAAGAACAATGATTTATTAGTGTTTTATAGCCACCTCTTGTTCAATACTGAATTTTTCCTATATTTGGAACAAATGCTTGTTACTTTCTCATAGATCTCATGCAGAGGAGCCATCAACACAGAGCTGTTAGTGCTCATGTTGGGTTATCTACAAACGAGTCTAGCAAGCTGGCTGCAGTGTCTGAAGAAGTTAGCACCCCAGCAATTGCTGTGCACCCCTGGTAGAGATCACTACTTCAATAGCAATGTCACCAACATGTCACTTCTGTTTGCCACTTGGTGTTGTCACAGTGCAAAATCTGACAACATCGCTTAAAGCCATCTTCATCATCCATTAATAGAGATGCCAAACCATGCAATGGACTGGCAGACAAAAAACTGCTCTCTTTTTGGGGATCAGAAATTCAGTCAGAGGAGTAGTAGCGCCATGTACGTGTAAAGTAAAATGCCACAACTGTTTTGGATGTGAAGAGGGATCAGTGTCCTAAGTTAGCTAGCAAGATGTTAGAAAAGGCTGTGTCTTCTAGTATGTACTGGGTGGGAAGCTAAGAGGGGAACAAATGAGTAAATATTACTTTCTTTGAAACAATTGTAAAAAAAATTTTTTTCAGCCCAGATTTAAATGCTGTCACCATCTGAGAGCTGAGATGGATGAAAACAATTAACAGCAACAGTATCTCGGGACATCTCTATAGTTAGAGAGTAGCTGATAGAACAGCGATTGTATTATCTTATATCAAAAGGTTGTGTAGTTTGATCTACAAAAACCTCACCCAAACCAGATGCTGTCTTTTGGAATAAAATCCTATTCCAAGGCGAAATTGAGTTTCCATTTTAATTTCTGGTATCATTCGTACAGAAGGGTATATTTGGAGACTCCGAAGCCTTCCATTTCTGATGGCACTAGGGAATAGTGCTTTGTTCTCTCCTTCATTACCCACCCTTGTGCTCAAGTACTTTTCTTCTCAACCTTCTTCCTCCCCTACCACCTTGCACTCCATCCAGTGTAGAAGTACTGGCATGAAAGTCAATAAATTACCTTATTTGCCTAGTTTAAGTAGCTTACCCATTATTTCCAAGCCAGTCACGGGAAGTTGCACAAGGTACTTTTATCTTTTAAACAATGATAAATACAAGCTGTCTTACCCTAAGTACTTAATTTTAAGGTGGCATCCTGTCAGCCACTTTAGTTTGTTATTGACTGTGAGATACAATTAATAATGTGTGGACTGATGAAGGAGAAGCTAGATTAACACAAAAAATAGCCCCTCAGGAAAATATAAATAACATTTTTATAAAGTGAATAACAGAGAATCTTTCTGCATTTTATTAGTATGTTACACTTTTCACCAGAGCACACATATAACCTTTATTATTTTTAAATCTTACGATGTTGTTCTGCTGCTTTTAATACTTTCAGGGTTTCTTCTCAATTTCCTGAATAAATTTCTGGGGAATATATACCATATGATCCCATTCTGTCATGCCAGTTACAGCAGAAATGTTTCACTGGTATATGTTGGTGGCATTTTCACAATAATTTGGTAAGAGTACCTAGAAAGGGTTCATTTACCTGGATTCACCCAGAAGACAGCTTCACATGTGAATCTGAGAATGCTTAGTTTTTCTACTCCTTATCTTTAGTCCGGGACATGGGACTTGCAAGCATAGTAGTTCTAGAATACTGCCACTCCGCGTATAGATAGAAATATGGTCACAAATGGCAATGGTTGTCACCCACTAATGACTTTAATGACCAAGACCACAGTTTTGATTTTGACCTTAGAATAAAATAAAAATGTGAGCTGGCGGAAGATGAAATCACACTTGCAGCATTATAAAGACATTTATGGACTGATTCTGCCCAAAGGAGAGTCTGTTGTCTCCACCTACTCTGAGCCTAACAAACTGTACTGTTCTAACAAGAGGTGATGATCAGACAACACACTGCAGCTAGACACCTGCAACGGCCCAGAACTCAGGAGCTGAATGATTCCCTTTTTTGTCATTGATTCTACATGGTGAGCTAGATAAAAGAACTGTCTAAAGCTTTGGCTTGTGTCTAAAGCTTTGCAGCACTATTTCTATATATTTTGTTGTTGTCATCGTAATTATCAATATATAACATTTTTGTTTGTAAACATCAATATTCCATGGAAATCAAAGTCCTTGAAATGTTTCCAAATAGTA